TGTTCTCAGATAAATTTGGCTTTTAAAATTTTAAATCAAATAACTTCATATTACTTCATTTAATCTCAATGGAAAGTTTTCCAACTGCAAATCACATATCAGGCGTGGATTTTGTCTTGACCGTAGCTCTTTTGATGAACAATTGTGTTTCAATTGGGCTTTCAGATTAACAGGCTGAAGTATATATTCGTGCTTCTTTGATATATTATCGGAATTGTCATTTTCTGTAAGTTTTTTCATCTGCAACTATGTATAAAATAGTCATATTTACACATATTACATTTATATTCAAATTAATTTATTTAATGTTTTTATCATAATATAGTAGAGCATCAATTATCCAAATATCAATCAACCGAAACTTCAATTAACCGAAAGCTTTCCAGTCAGCAAATTTAAATTTCCACTAGTGCTGTGGCACTGCAATCTTTGGCTATGTCTTGGGCTACTCCAATATTATTTTTGTTGGTGTGCGTGTTTTAGCTGGCAGCACTGGCACGACCATGAGGGTACTTAAGGAAGTGCCAGGATTTGAACAAATTTCAACATGGAATATGTTAATATATTTTTTCGTACATAATCGGCTATCTGAAAAATAATTTTCCAAGCAATCCCAGTCCCCAATTGATTTGGATAATTGATGCTCTACTGTATTCATAAATAAGGCAATGATACAAAAAATTATTTTGAATAGAATATNTTCAATTTAACAGCACAGCATACATTTACATTTTTAAGTATATTATACATTATCTTTACTATTGAATTTAATAAAAATATTTAGATTTGTATATAAATTATTTGATTGATAGGTTTTTCCTTGTGAACACTTTGTACAATATATAATATAATGAAAAAAACACCATTTGTCCTGTTTTGTTAGAGAACATTAGAGAACATAACAGCTAAGAAAGGCAAATTAAAATATAAAATGTCGCAACTGAAGAGGAATGTAAGGGAATGTCTAAAGATTGTAATGCTAATACAAGGAAAAACCTGTAATAAATCCAAAGAATTATGTAACTAATCCAGCTTTCATTATAATATGTATAGCAATATCTCACTCACATAACATCTCTTTTACCAAGTAATTTATGATTAAATTATTTTTTACATATAAAACTAAAAAGTTATAAATATTCTTCTATCAAATACTAATACATAATTAAAACAATTTTTTGTAATCACACGTGGTATTTTATTTTACTGGTGATTTACCACTTGTGATTTAATAAAGGTTAAATAATTTATTTTATAATAAACTCTTTTTATTTAAGATCATGGCAATTAAAATTTCAGAATCACGATAAAGTTAAACTTGTAAAATTCTTATTGGCTTGATATCAACAAATTTATTTTATATATATTTTGTAAAACTTAAAATTTACATTATTAGTATGATTAAGTGTATCATCTTTTAAGTTAAAACTAATTTCTAGATCTTAAAACTAAAAAATAAAACGAAAATTTTAAGAACAAAAATATTTACCTTTAAAGAATATTCTTTCTGAATCTTATCCATTGTCAATCCACGCAATATATATAATTCATCAAAATCCAATTCTTGTTCTATTTCATCTTTTTGTGCCTTTAAATCAAAACAAAGCATTAATAAAAATTAATAAGAAATTTTTTAACTATTTATATTTACTTCAAATAATTTTCAAAAAAATTACTTTTTAAATATAAAATGAAAAATATTGAACAAAATTTTATTATTTTAAACAATAAATTTCATGTTTAACAGATAACTTAATTCCAATTTTTAATTGGAATGATATTGAAGAAAAATGTGAAAATAAAACAAAAGAAAAATAATCATGGAGAATATCAATCCAGGAAAAACTACAGACTTTTTTTAGAACAATTCTAATGTACTGGAGAGAAAGAGAACATTCCTATTAAAGAAAAAACAACATTCAAATATTCTAAATTAATTAAGAGTAATGGTACACAAGATGGAGAAGTGAAAGCATGGGATAGATTGGAATTTAGGCAAAAATATATATTTGTTTATTTGGCAGATACTATTTACAATATTTTAACACCGTATACATACTGTATAATAAGAAATTATTAATTTTTATGTTATATAAAGTGCAAGTCACTTAACTCTGACAATTAACATAAAACTGTAGCTTTTTAAATCAAAATCAATTCTTGAAACTTATTATAAGATCTGATTTTTTATAAATATTCTGTCAATATTAGAGTAAACTTCATTTAAATAATCTAAATGAAGATTATTCCACATCAAAACCAAAGCTGATTAGCCACCTTGTTTTCTTTGCTAATCTATAGAATAAATTTTAACCAACAAAATCAGCCCATCAACTTAGCTAGCAGTCTCTCAAAGATTAACACTCTTCAATGTGTTGAAAATATTTCTGTGGCTTAAAGTGCATTTAACCTTAAAATTAAAACTCATGCAATCAGTCCTTAGTATCAAAACTTTTAACTTTCAAAATAACTTCTGTAAATATAATGTTAAAACAACAAAATAATAATTTCTATACAGCACCAATATAAATAAAATAAAGTCCTGTGCCCATTTATTTACCATAAAGCAACTTTCCAAATGTATATATACAGGGCGTTTCAAAACTATTGGGTTGTTCAAAAAGTCAGTTCGTTTTTTTTCTGTGGAAAAAAAAAACAATATTTTTATAATAAATAAATATTTTATTGAATTATATATCAACCATTTTGGTCAAATATCTGTTGTCATCGTTTCTGGTAGTAGTATGATTTCACATTCATAAAAGTTTTGATTGTTGCTTACAAAAAACTGATCCAAGTGATTTTTGACATTGTCATTTCAAGTAAATGTCTTACAGTTAAAAAAAATTTGTATAGACCGGAACAAGTAATAATCTGAGTGTGCTCGATCTGGCGAATATGGTTGGTGTGATAGCACGTCCCATCTAAGTTATAACAGTTTCTGACAAGTTACCAAACTTGTGTGAAATTTGACATTATTGTGGTAAAACACTACACCTGTTTT